TACGGACCTGGCGCACCCACATTCAACTACCCTTCCATCCCCACCCCCTATTTTCCAATCTCCCTCACTTTCTCTACAATCCTCCTGCTTCTTCTCTACCCTTCCACCCTTCCTTCTCTACCCCTCCCTCCCCCGCACCTACCACCTAGAGAAGCCCCAGTATCTCCCGCTAATGGTAAGAATGTATGCTGGGGGAGGGGTGCTGGGGCAAAGGTGGTGTTGGGGGCGTAAAGGTCCCACGAAACAGACTGGCTGTTCAGCTTTTGTTCCCCTGGTATGGTGTACGTCTTCCTCGTGTTCGATAACCTTGGGACGTCCTCATCGCCGCCCACCTGACAGTAAAGAGGTAACAGTGGCAGAGGGGTGAGGGGGGGGGGGAGAGGTGAGGGAAGGAGGTGATGAGGGAGGAAGGTGAGGGTGAGGAGGAAGGAGGTAAGGATGTTTGAGTGAGAGTGAAGGGAGGAGGAGAAGAATAATACTCGGGAGGAGGGAGAAGAAGGGGAGGGGTGAGGGAGGGAGGGGGTGAAGAAGGGAGGGGTGTAGAGTGAGGGGTGAAGAAGGGAGGTGTAGGAGCAGGGGTGAAGAAGGGGAGGGGTGTAGGGAGGAGGGGTGAAGAAGGGGGGGTGTAGGAGGGAGGGGAGAAAGACCAAGAGGAGTGGGGTAACGTGTGCTAAATTTGGGGAAGAGACGGGGGCAGAATTTTAGATGTGTGTGTGAGAGAGAGAGAGAGAGAGAGAGAGAGAAGGTTTGGGATTAACTATTCAGTCATCAATTCGCTCAAGTTATTCTCATTGTGACATTGATTAACGCACGACCAACAAGGTGCATCAATACACTCATCAATACACATCCACAGCCTATAGTGCTATCCCTTAATAACGAGTCAATGGCCACACACACACACACACACACACACACACACACACACACACACACACATTCATCTACACCAAACAAATCCAGTCCAGCTGTCATATTTATCTTAGCCACGAACAAAAAGCCAAAAAGCCTGAATAAATACATAATTAAAGTTGTAAAGCCTTTCCGTTCTGTTTACCAAAGAATCCCAAATGAATCCGGACTGTATTTATTGTCGACACACGCGAACGCTTTACCGCATCAAAAATCAATAAGGAAATAAGAGCATTTTTATCGTAGCTGTTAACGTTTTATAGATTTAAAAACAAATAAAAACTTCTTGAAGATTATTTTACCTGAGAAATTCTCACAAATCCACGAACACTTCATGAATCCACAACAAATCCACGAACACTTCATGAATCCATAACAAATCCACGAACACTTCATGAATCCATAAGAAATCCACAAACGCTTCATGAATCCATAACAAATCCAGAATTGCACAGTGTTACCTTTTTATCATCAATACCTTAGACGAAGAAAGAAAAATAACACTCCCTCACACCGTAGTCACAGACCCCGCTAAACAAGACAGACAAAAGGTGAGATGATGATTGAGGTGTGGACGTCAGACACACACACACACACACACACCTGGTGGGGAAATATGGAAGCAGGTGGACACGACACGACACGACACGTAAAAGGTCACCACCATCAGCGTCATTAGGCTAGGATGCTTTCCCTTGATACTGGGTTAAATCGAAGCAGTTTGTACAAGTAATGTGTGTGTGTGTGTGTGTGTGTGTGTGTGTGTGTGTGTCTGACCACCACACAGCATTTTTCAGCACACCGCCACAACACCTGCCTCTCTCCTCGCTCATAATTAATAGCTCAGGGACTAGCAAAGACCATGGGGCAGTGTCTGCTATTGGTAAGTAAGACTGTAGTGGTGTGGGAGTAGGGTGAAGGTGTCAGGGATGAGTCACACTTAATGAGGCCTTAAAACACTGGTACCTTTCACTATTAATATCATTACTATAAACGTAATGATACCTTACCTGTTCCCATATCGCATTACCTTTATATCTGAACTAAAAGACGATACATTTAAACACTGTAGCGACAAACGCATCTCGCAGCTTACCTGGATCACGTCTTATTAACACACGGGGCTCACAGGTAAAGCGACTGTAATCTCTGTAACAATTGGATACAGTGAGAGGGATACAGGGAAGGGATTCAGGGTAAGAATTACAGCACTCTGGTGTGAGATGAGGGAGGGAGAGAGAGAGAGAGAGAGAGAGAGAGAGAGAGAGAGAGAGAGAGAGAGAGAGAGACAACACAATCCACTGTAAATCAATGCAATACATCATTTATACACAATACTACATTCATAATACAAGCTAAGGCAAAACAGTGATGTGTAGCCCACAGTAATGAAATACAATGATACAAGACGACACAGATGCATTGCAACACAGGAGAAAAACAATGCAATAGAAAATACAGTGAAATGCGATACAATGGGGTACAAATGCAACACAGATACAATGCAACACAGGATACAATACAACACAGGATGCAATGCAACACAGTATACAATGCAACACAGGATAAAAACAATGGAATACAATGCAACATAAACCATCGCTACACAACACTCTGCGTCATGGTCACTTTATCGACAACCGGACAATTTATTCTTCGCACGCGAGACAAAACAACTAAATAGCTTTACAAATGAGTTATGGGATGTTAAGTTTTATACTGAACAAATATATACAGTTAAATGACTAGCAAGGATACACACACGCAATAGACGGGAACAAACACACCCACACGCAAACAACAGGAACAAACACACCCACACGCAAAAAACAGGAACAAAACACACACCCACACGCAAACAACAGGAACAAACACACCCACACGCAAACAACAGGAACAAACACACCCACACGCAAAAAACAGGAACAAACACACACAAAGACAAGAACAAACACAAACACGCAAAAAACATGAACCTTAACATCAAAATCTCATCGGCATAAAATTTATTTTTTTTGTCAGACATTTTCCTTTGAAATAAAAGAAAAAAAAATAATATAGTTAAAAATTCCTTTGTTTATGAATCTGTGTAAGCTGACGACAAAGACAAGTTTATTATAGTTTTTATTATTTTTTTTTTTAGCCAATAATCTTACTCTGAAATTTTGAAATATATTGATTTAAGAATATATATGTAAGGATGTAATTATATTCAATGAGACTAAAATGGCTGTAATTTATGATAGATGGATAGATATTAGATTGATAGATAGATATTAAATAGATAAATAGATAGAGATTAGATATAGATAGATAGATAGATAGATGTTTAATATATCACTACTTTAAACTAATATTTACAGCCAAACTTCCAATTCTCAATATTTGAATAATAAAAAACTATATTTTCAAATTTACAAAAGTGAGAAAGACAAGTTTGGAATTGTTTTAAAAGTTGTAACTCGAGTTTTCAGGCTAAACTTTCTCTCATATTTAACCTAATGCATTACTAAATAACTCACAATACATTACTAAATAACTCACAATACATTACTAAATAACTCACAATACATTACTAGATAACTCACAATACATTACTAACAGTTTATACTACAATAACAATAATTTTAATAATATACATTAATAACTACACAATACTTAAATAAATTTTAATACACACATAAATAACTCTATCACATTACTAATAACTCACAATACAATAATAAATAACTTTAATATTATTAAATAGCTCACAATACATTAATAAATAACTCACAATACATTACTAAATAACTCACAATACAATATCACTAAATAACTCACAATACAATACTAAATAACTCTTAATACATTACTAAATAACTCACAATACATTACTAAATAACTCACAATACATTACTAAATAACTCACAATACATTACTAGATAACTCACAATACATTACTAAATAACTCACAATACATTACTAGATAACTCACAATACATTACTAAATAACTCACAATACAATACTAAATAACTCTTAATACATTGCTAAATAGCTCACAATACAATACCAATAACTCTCAATACATTACTAATAGCTCACAATACAATACTAAATAACTCATAATACAATACTAATAACTCTTAATACATTACTATAGAACTCTTAATACACCAAATACATTCTAGCAGTTAGAGACATTAAATAAATCTCTTGAGCTTTAAAACTTTTACGAAATACTACACCAAGTTTTAAAATCCAAATATGTCAGAAAAAAAAAATAATAAACTTCATTTGCTCGTGAACTTTTGGCCCACGAATGTACACAACTTGAGGTTTGAAAAGTTTGAAATAAAATTGTGAAATAATGTTTGAGAGAGAGATTCTGCTGTGGTGTGTCAAGATAGATAGATAGATGGATGGATAGAGGGATAGGTAGATAGATAGATGGATAGAGGGATAGGTAGATAGATAGATAGATAGATAGATAGATAGATAGATAGATAGAGGGATAGGTAGATAGATAGATAGATAGAAAGAAAGAAGGATAGATAGAGGGATAGGTAGATGGATAGCGGGATAGATAGCGGGATAGATAGATGGATAGAGGGATAGATACAGAGATAGGGATAGATAGATAGATAGATGGATAGAGGGATAGATGGATAGATAGAGGGATAGATAGAGGGATAGGGATAGGGATAGATAGATAGATGGATAGATAGATAGATAGATATACAGTATATATAGATAGAATTTTAAGTTAGATAATATGATCAAAAAACTTACAAGAAATCACTAAAAATTATCTTCATTATTTTATGTTCAAACAGATGAAGACGCGAGCGACAGTCTTTGATTATTAAGGTTTGAAATTAGATATAAAATGAACCTCTTTTCTTTTCACTGAAATTTATAAACATATCGCTAAAGAGGTTTATTATAGGTACACAGACGGACACGAATCACACACACACACACACACACACACACTCACACACACACACACACACACACACACACACACACACACATATTCTCAACCCATCTAAAAAATAAAATCTCAATTGACCTGACCTGAGTTGACCTATTCTCTTGCCCGCAGTGTGGTCGGTGACTGGGATAGCCGGACGTGCTGCTGACCTGCCCTGCTACCTGGACCCTCGTACACCTGGTGATAAGCCCAAGTTAATACTGTGGTACAAGGAGGCAGTTAGGAGCCCTTTGTTCAGGTCAGTTGTATAGTGTATGGTCTATGATGTATGGTGTATGGTCTATGATGTATGGTGTATGGTCTATGATGTATGGTGTATGGTGTATGATGTATGGTGTATTTTTCTTCCCTTCCTTCACCCTCCTCTCTTCATTCACTCTTCCTCCCTTTCTTCACACAGTTTATCTACTTGTCCTCTACACCTTTTCCCTCTCTCTTTCCCCTCCTCCTCCCTATCAATTAATTATTCCATTCCATCTTTTATTGGCTTTCCCTAATTCTCACGTCCGCCCTCCTCTTCCTCCTCCTCCTCCTCCTCTTCATCCTCCTCCTCTTCCTTCTTCTCCTCCTCTTCCTCCCTCGCTTGTGTGATTTTTTCTCGCGTACTTTATTGTATTTTTTATCTATCTTTCTTGTCTCTATTTCTCTTTCTCTTTTCTTTCTTTTTTCCTTTCCTTTAATGTCCTTCTCTCTCTTTTTGTAACTTTTATTCCCTTACCTCTACCTACTTTCTTCTTCCTCTTCCTCCTCTTCCTCCCTTCTTACCTATAAATTCTACTTGTTCTCGCCCTCCCCTTCCCTCTCTCTTCCCTAAATCCTTCTCTTGTTCTGTTTCCCGTTTATCCTTTTATCCCTATACCACCAATTTTCTCCTGCATCTCTGCGCCTCTTTTATCCATTACTCTTATTTCTCTTTCTCACCTTTTTTGTTCATTCTCTTATATTACCCTATTTATGTCTTTGCTTTCCCCCTTTTTCTCCCTTTCCCTCCTCTTCTTATTCCTGTCTATCCACCTCCCTCTTCTTCCTCTTTCTTCTCCCCTTCGCCCTTTACCCCCCTCTCCTTCCCCATCCCCCTCTCACTCCCCTTTCCTCTTCCCCCTCCCAACCCCCTCCTCCTCTCCCTCTCTCTCTCTCCCTCCCAGCATCCTCTATCTGTCCGTTCACCCTTCTGTTCCATCCCCTCCCTGGGTTCTGTCTTTTTGCCACCACTATCAGCAGCAACGTCACTCTCAGTAGCAGGAGCAGTATCAGTAGCAGAGGCAGAGGAACAGTAGCAGCAGTAACAGTAGCAGGAACAGAAGCAGGAACAGTAGCAGCAGCAGGAGCAGTAGGGCCGCTCTGTCGACAATGCTCTCCTTAGGCAGGCAGTCAACGGCCAGTCATCATCATAATAATTGATCCCGGAGTATACCAAGTGGTGGGTGTTGTGCCTTGCCCACCCGCCCACCCTGCCTTGCCCACCATGCCTAACCCACCCTGCCTGCCTTGCCTCACCCACCCTATCTTGCTCACCCTGCCTTGCCCACCCTACTAACCCACCCTGCCTTGCCCACCCTACTAACCCACCCTGCATTGCCCACCCTACTAACTCCACCTTGCCTTTGCCCAATTCTATTAACTCCACCCTGCCTTGCCCACCCTACTAACCCAACCTGCCCACCCTATTAACCCACCCTGCCTTGCCCACCCTATTAACCCACCCTGCCTTGCCCAATTCTACTAACTCCACCCCTGCCTTGCTCCACCCTACTAACCCACCCTGCCTTGCCCACCCTACTAACTCCACCCTGCCTTGCCCACCCTACTAACCCACCCTGCCTTGCCCACCCTACTAACTCCACCCCTGCCTTGCCCAATCTCTACTAACCCAATCTCTACTAACTCCACCCTACTAACCCACCCTGCCTTGCCCACCCTACTAACCCACCCTGCATTGCCCACTCACCCACCATGCCTCACTCACCCACACAGTCTGCCTCGCTCACTAACTCACTTGGCCACTCTCCTGACTTTAACCAAAAAGTGAACTGTGTGTCTTAGTCATACTCACAGTCAAGCAGTCATACTGTCATACTAAGTCATACTAACAGTCATACAGTCTTATTAACAGTCAAACAGTCATACTAACAGTCAAACAGTCATACAGTCATACTAACAGGATTTCATGATCAATTTACTGTGGATACCATTTAATACGTCGAAGATTGTCAGAAATTTGAACACACACACACACACACACGCACACACGCACGCACGCACACACACACACACACACACACACACACACACACACACACACACACACACACACACACACACACACGATGTATCAGCCGTTCTTTTGTTAGTGTTTTTCACAGCGAAACTGTATTTTACGAACAATTCTCTCCACAGTGAATTCAGACAATGGTTTATACTGCCTATGGTTTATATTGAGAGAGAGAGAGAGAGAGAGACTTTAATCTTATCATATTATTGTTATTGTCATCATAATAATTTAATCCCTTGACTCACAATTACGTAAAGCACTTTGACATTCCTTCGTTAAAATTAATTCAATAACCACCTACCTTAATCACCCATCGTGCCCAGTAGGTCTAACTCCCAGGTAATTAGCAAGCATCAAGCACCTGATCGACACGGTAATGAGAGCCCAGGTAGACTAATTACCGATGGTCTAAATTAATTGAGAGGATCACCCTTCTCTCGGCCTAATTAATGTGTCATGACCTTCTAATGTTTATTACTTACACCTGGCTGAAGTAGTTGATGGTGGTAGTGGTGGTTGGCAGTTGTTTTGAGATCACCCCTGACCTCTCTTTTCCCTCCCATTGATATTCTTCTGAACCTCGATCCAATAATCCCTTTGACCTCGTGACCTCCCCTGAACCTCGTGACCATCCATGACCTCCCCTGTACCTCGTGACCATCCATGACCTCCCCTGTACCTCGTGACCTCCCATGACCTCCCCTGAACCTCGTGACCTCCCATGACCTCCCCTGAACCTCATGACCTTCCCGTGACCTCAACTGCAGTGTGGTCCAAGTAAACATATTACTTGGCTGATACCTCAACCCTTGCTCGCTTGTCCACAGTGTATAGCATGAAAGTCTCCCAGCCCCACCACCCAGCCCCCACCCACCCAGCTCCCAATACCACCCAGCCTCTACCACCCAGCCCCACCACCCAGTCCTGCTGCCACCCAGCCCCCTTGCCACCCAGCTCCCTTGCCACCCAGCCCTTGCTACCCAGCCCTACCACCCAGCCAAGTTACCACCCAGCCCTACCACCGTGCCCTGCCACCCAGCCCCACTAATTCAGCCTCCTACCACCCAGCCCTTGCCACCCAGCCCTGCTTTTCACCCAGCCCTTGCCACCCAGCCCTACTCACCCAGCTCCTTGCCACCCACCCCTTGCCACCCACCCCTTGCCACCCAGCCTCTTGCCACCCACCCCTCATCTAGATCTCATCACCTGTGTCCCTATCACTCAGCCTCCACCACCCAGCCCTCACCCACCCACTCCCACCTCTCCACCCACCCACACCCCACCTCTCCACCCACCCACACCCCACCTCTCCACCCACCCACCACTCCAAACAACTGCTTGGGGGTGAATGAACTAGGTAACTACTGTGTAAGATAGTTAGGTAGTTGGGTGGTTTGACTTCGTACAGTCCATAATACCGTGACGTCACTACATCTAGCTATGATTGACTGATTCAAGGAAGGACAAGTCAGTGTGTTTGTTCATCACCGTGGGGACGGATGCTGAAAAGTTGCCTGGGATTTTATTGCGTAAAGAACCCAAACAAACTCAGTGATTGAAATAAGATCCGGAGACTTTACCTTTATAAGTGGAATCGGATCGTAGTTAGATAATTGAGCTTGTAAGGTGAGTTAATGAATAAATAGGAGTGTAAGGTATGTATTAGTGTTTGTAAAAGTAGCTTTGGACAATTTAGACTAAAAAAAACAGGTGTTCACATAATAATAGGGAGAAAATCAGCCTACAGTAAGAACGGTACACCTGTAGAACCAAGAACACCTGGGTGAAAAACAAAGAGATTATATTGTGTTTGTGTTGGAGGTGACGCGCCGGTCAGGTAACAACAGGTAACGTCGCTCACCAAAGCCACAGACAACACCTGTGTGCCTTACCTGCCCTCACCGCCCATCACACCTGTAATAAACGCATCATCAACACATGACTTAATTACCGTCAAGACACGCAGGCTTCTTCACTTCCTTCCCACCTGTAGTGTTCCTGTGTCAACACCTGTTATGCTGTAATTAATGTATTGACACAACCTTCTTCCAGTACCTGTGTTAGTTGTTACCAGTACTCTCTCTCTCTCTCTCTCTCTCTCTCTCTCTCTCTCTCTCTCTCTCTCTCTCTCTCTCATTCATTACCCTGTCACATACCTTTTCCACCACTAATGTCAACCCATTCCATTTCCCTCTCACATTTTCTCTTCCATCCCATGAACTCACACAACTTAACCTCTCCTACCTCACCCGCCTTCCTCTCCCCCCCCCCCCCCTCCTTGCCAGACCTTTGTATGATGCTCAAATTTGCATCGAAAGTTAAATTGCGTTTAGGTAAATGTGATTAACTCCCCCGAGACTGCTGACGTGACTAGCTTAGCGGTGGTGTGTGTGTATGTACCATAACTCAGCCATATCGATGTACCATAATTTTCTTCCCACCACTCCTACAGGAAGACTTCATTAAGTATCTTTCCATCCTACAACTCCTACAGGAAGAGACCATTCATTACTAACACGAGGATTCTTCTTCCTTCCTCAGCCACGACACCAGGGCGCCCCAGTTCGACGGGGACTTGGGCCAGGGTGAAGGGGTGTTGTCGGTGAGCAGGGGCGCGGCCACCCTCACCTACCATAACATTACCTCTAAACACGCCGGCATCTACGAGTGTCGGGTGGATTTCTACAAGTCTCCGGCACACTCGAAGTTCGTCAATCTTACTGTTATTGGTAAGTACTGTATGGCCATTCTTCTTCTTCTTTACTCATCCACAAAACTCCATTTGCCTCTCCCCGAACCCACGAGAGATTCAGAACTCGTGAATCCGAAGCATTTATGGACAGATTAAGGTATCAGTCTACTACTTCGGGTTCACTTAAATTTGATACAGTTTATTCCTGTTTTTGTATTTTGTTGTTGTAATTTCAGGTTTTTTAATATATTTGAAATTATGTTTTGTATCTATACTTACAATAATTATTACTGTATATTAAAAATAGTGTTAATATGTCTTGTCGTGTGCAGTTACAGCAACGATTTTTGTATCTTTTGAAGGCTGTATTTTACAGTCTTAATCTGTTGTGATTTTGTAATGACTTTCTGTATCTCGGCTTACAGCAATGATACCCGGTTCTTTTTTTATGGTTACAGTTAAGTAATTGTCTGTATTTTCTGAAACTGGTTCTTGTAAATGACTGTATATTTACCTTTACAATCACCGTCAAGTGATTGTAAGTGATTAATTATGTAACTAAAACTCGTTGGGTCTTGTAATTGATGATTTGGGATCACCTGAAGATTAGATCCCCACTTACCTTACTTCACCTGTTGATTAAGTAACCTAACTCTACCTGGAGGAGTTAGGTTAGCTTTAAATTTAGTTAGGTTCGGTTTGAGTAGGAGAGGTTAGATTATATTTATTTAGCGTTATGTTATGTTAAATTAGGTTAGGTTAGGTTAGGTTAGGTTAGGTTAGGTTAAGATGTATAATCATCAGGTGGAATAAACTGGGGTGTTTAATCTTCAGGTAAACTCTACCTTTTCGCACCTAAAACAAGTTACAAAAACATTACAGTGATCGTATCGTGTCTGACTGAATCTTTGCTTGTTACATAGATTACATAGCGCCTTGGTACTGTAATTACACCCGTCTTAACTACACCATTCTGCGGTGGTTGGCGTGGAGAAGCTTGTTAGCATAATGATCATTGCTGTTGTGTGGTTCGGCGGGGGGGGGGGTGTTAATGGCTTCTGCACCGTAGCAGGTTACAGCCTTAACTATGCAGTACCCGAGCTTGTTAATAATATGTTAATTGGGTCGTTATCTTGTAGTTGTTGTTGTTGACTGCAGCGTGTGTGTGTGTGTGTGTGTGTTCCTGTTTGCTGTTATGGTTAGGTTAGGTTAGGTTAGGTTGACCTCTCGCCTATGTTGACCTTACTAGGGGATAACCTCGTTTATAATTGGCCTCATTGACTCTAATTAGTGAAAAAGTTTGGCTCAGACTAGCGGCCACAGTCTCTCATAATTGCCTCATTATTGTTGATTATACCTCACTAACAGCCCTTACTCATTAGCTCACATTGCCCTCATAATAGTTTTCATTAATTTGTACCAACCTCATTAATTTGTACCAAACCCATTAATTTGTACCAACCTCATTAATTTGTACCAAACCCATTAATTTGTACCAAACTCATTAATTTGTACCAAACCCATTAATTTGTACTAAACCCATTAATTTGTACCAACCTCATTAATTTGTACCAAACCCATTAATTTATACCAAACTCATTAATTTGTACCAACCTCATTAATTTGTAAACTCATTAATTTGTACCAAACTCATTAACCTGTAATTCTCTTTTTAGTGTTTAGTGATATCATTATTTCTTCATTAATCACGTAACTCCTTCATTAAACTCATAAGCATCATTATCTGGCGTCACACCCACACCCACACACACACACACACACACACACACCCACACACACACACACACACACACACACCCACCCCCCACCCACCCACCACCACCCACCCACACACACCCACACACACACCCCCACACACCCCACACACACACACACACACACACACACCTTAACTGGACACTAAGAGCCAAGTCATCACACTACCTATCCCAATTATGTACGAGCTAACTAGGTTGTTTGTAACTGATTGTTGTAATATCATTTGGCCTCGTAATACAATTTGTAAACAAACTTTGATACAACATTCATATATTAATACTCAGGTGGCGCGTATATCTTGTTAACAAAAAGTAAGCTTGATTAACACTCTCACTGTTAACCTATTAAACAGGAGGAAATTTAACTTTGAACAAAAAATTATGTTGATTTTATTTATTTTGTTTTTAGTTTGTTTTTGCTGTTTTTTGAGGGAATAATTTTGTTTTGTCTTTTCGTTTGACTGTTTTTGCAGTGTGTGTGTGTGTGTGTGTGTGTGTGTGTGTGTGTGGATAGACCGTATCACTCTCCCGTTAAGTGTACATAACTGCCTCAAAACACTTACAAGCCAATGACGTCATCACACAGGTACAACACATTCACCTGTTAATTAGCAAACTCCTGCACACAGCATAAGGCTAATGAGAGTTAAAAGTTCAATAATGAACTTGAGAAACATGAGGAGGAGGGAGAGCGGAGGGAGGGAAGGAGGATGAGGAGGAGGGGTAGTGTTGGAGAAGGGAGGGAGAAGGAGGAGGAGGTAGTGTTGGAGGTAGTGTTGGGGAAGGAGGAGGAAAGGTGATGATGAGGTAAAAAGTGATGGAGGGGAAGGAGCTACCTCCTCTATCCTCTGCAACACCTCCTACCATCCTGAAAACCTTCCTACCATCCTGCAACACCCCCTACCATCCTACAACACCTCCTACCATCCTGCAACACCTCCTACCATCCTAAAACCTTCCCTACCATCCTGCAACACCTCCTACCATCCTGCAACAACCTTCCTACCATCCTGCAACACCCCTACCATCCTGCAACACCTCCTACCATCATGCAACACCCCCTACCATCCTGCAACACCACCACCATCCTGCCCTACCATCCTGCAACACCTCTACCATCATGCAACACCTCCTACCATCACACCTCCTACCATCCCAACACCTCCTACCATCCCGCAACACCTCCTACCATCCTGAAACCTACCATCCTCCACCATCCAACCTTCCCCTCCTGCCATCCTGCAACACCACCCCATCAAAACCCCCTACCATCCTGCAACATCCCTACCATCCTGCAAAACCTCCAACCATCCTGCCTTCCTACCATCCTGCAACACCCCCTACCATCCTGCAAAACCTCCCTACTACCCTGCACACCCCCCATCCTGCAAAACCTTCCCTACCATCCTGCAACACCCCTACCATCCTGCAACACCCCTACCACCCTGCAACACCCCTACCATCCTGCAACACCTACCCTCCTACAATACCTGGTGCAAGACACTTAATCACTATTTAATGAGATCTGAGAAACCATAAAAATGTTTAATGGATACAATCTCTCAGTGCAGCGCCTTGAGAATGTAGTGTGAGGTGTGTTGTGTTGGGTGTGTGTGTGGAGTGTGTGTGTGTGTGTTGTGTGGGTGTGTTTGTGTTGTTGTGTTAGTGTGTGTTGGTGTGTGTGTTGGTGTGTGTTGTGTGTTGGTATTGTGTTGTGATGTGTTGTGTTAGTATGTTGTGTTAGGTGTGTTGTGGGTGTGCTGTGTTGGGTGTGTTGTGTTGGGTGTGTTGTGTTGGGTGTGTTGTGTTGGGTGTGTTGTGTTGGGTGTGTTGTGTTGGGTGTGTTGTGTTGGGTGTGTTGTGATGAGAGATGATCTGTCCTCTATTTTTCTTATTTATCTTAATCTCCTCTCCTTTCCCCCTCTTCATCATCGTCTTCACCTATACAAATTCTATGATTAATCGCATCTTGTAACCTCTCTCTCTCTCTCTCTCTCTCTCTCTCTCTCTCTCTCTCTCTCTCTCTCTCTCTCTCTCTCTCTCTTCAAACAAAATCACATCTCTCATCTCTGGCTACCATCAAAACTGTCCCCTGAGAAAATGACAAGAAAAAGGGTGTGAGTGAGTTGAGTGAGTGAGTGAGTTGTCCTTCAGAGATCACCACTTAGGGATAGACCCGCCCCAGAGCTCACCTTGGGATAGGAACCCCCCCCCAGGCTCACCACTTGGGATATAGGAACCCGCCCCAGAGCTCACCACAGGATATAGGAACCCGCCCCCAGAGCTCACCACTTAGGATATGAGAACCCGCCCCCAGAGCTCACCACTTAGGATATAGAACTGCTCCACCAACTCCTTTATCCTTCAACTGGCTGCTTCTTTCATGTGGGTCGGTGTTGTGTTTTGTTCCGTCCTTCTCTCTCTCTCAGATTATTCTTATTTTGCTTGCAGTGATTCGCTGAGTTTCTTGTGGGAAGTGGGTGTGGGGTAGTGAGTGTGGGTAGTGGGTGTGGGGTAGTGGGTGTGGGGAGTGGTGTGGGGGGTGGTGTGGGGTAGTGAGTGTGGGGTGTGGTGTGGGGGGAGGTGTGGGGGGTGAGTTTGGTGGTGGTGTGGGGAGTGAGTGTGAGTGTGGAGTGTGGGTAGTGAGTGTGGTGGTGGTGAGTGTGGGGAATGGGATGGTGGTGGCCATTTTTTCATACTGGGGGGCATTATTTTTTTATTTTTTTTATACTATGGACAAATATTTTCAAGACAATATGAACAAAATACAAGTCACACACCTTTTATTTTAATCGCATTCAAAATAGCCGGTTGGCGTCCCTTTTGAATTTCACTTTCACTGGACAAATCTGATGTGAAGGTAAATTAAGAGATGATTTCATGATATTTGACAGGTGCTTTCAGAACAGTAAGCCAATCAGCATCGATCACTGTATTTTTTGGTATCTGATGGAACAGGTTTAGACAGGTAATTGATAATATGTAAACCTAACAAACCAGTGTATACTTTTTTTTTCTACACGTATGAGACATGTATGAGGTGTTTCCGACCCGTATGAGACTTGAAAGAGACGTGTATGAGACGTGATTAAGACATATTACGAGGATTTTGTTTAGTTTTTACCCGATTTTTACGTAATTTTTCAAGAATTTCTCTAATTTTACCTGATTTTTTCGAGAATTTTTTTACCTTTTTTAACCATGATTTTTTTTTACTTGGTTTTCAACATCATGAAGTAGACAAATAGGCCAAGATCTT